GACCACCTTAACCCTAACCTTAACCATCTTACTCAGACCACCTTAACCCTAAACTTAACCATGTTACTCAGGTCCACCTTAACCCTAACCTTAGCCATCTTACTCAGACCACCTTAACCCTAACCTTAACCATCTTACTCAGACCACCTTAACCCTAACCTTAACCATGTTACTCAGGTCCACCTTAACCCTAACCTTAACCATCTTACTCAGACCACCTTAACCCTAACCTTAACCATCTTACTCAGACCACCTTAACCCTAACCTTAACCATCTTACTCAGACCACCTTAACCCTAACCTTAACCATCTAACTCAGACCACCTTAACCCTAACCTTAACCATCTTACTCAGACCACCTTAACCCTAACCTTAACCATCTTACTCAGACCACCTTAACCCTAACCTTAACCATCTTACTCAGACCACCTTACCCCTAACCTTAACCATCTTACTCAGACCACCTTAACCCTAACCTTAACCATGTTACTCAGGTCCACCTTAACCCTAACCATCTTACTCAGACCACCTTAACCCTAACCTTAACCATCTTACTCAGACCACCTTAACCCTAACCTTAACCATCTTACTCAGACCACCTTAACCCTAACCTTAACCATGTTACTCAGGTCCACCTTAACCCTAACCTTAACCATCTTACTCAGACCACCTTAACCCTAACCTTAACCATCTTACTCAGACCACCTTAACCCTAAACTTAACCATCTTACTCAGACCACCTTAACCCTAACCTTAACCATCTTACTCAGACCACCTTAACCCTAAACTTAACCATCTTACTCAGACCACCTTAACCCCAAACTTAACCATCTTACTCAGACCACCTTAACCCTAACCTTAACCGTCTTACTCAGACCACCTTAACCCTAACCTTAACCATCTTTCTCAGACCACCTTAACCCTAACCATCTTTCTCAGACCACCTTAACCCTAAACTTAACCATCTTACTCAGACCACCTTAACCCTAAACTTAACCATCTTACTCAGACCACCTTAACCCTAACCTTAACCGTCTTACTCAGACCACCTTAACCCTAACCTTAACCATCTTTCTCAGACCACCTTAACCCTAACCTTAACCATCTTTCTCAGACCACCTTAACCCTAACCTTAACCATCTTACTCAGACCACCTTAATCTTAACCTTCACCATCTTACTCAGACCACCTTAACCCTAACCTTAACCATCTTACTCAGACCACCTTAACCCTAACCTTAACCATCTTACTCAGACCACCTTACCCCTAACCTTAACCATCTTACTCAGACCACCTTAACCCTAACCTTAACCATGTTACTCAGGTCCACCTTAACCCTAACCTTAGCCATCTTACTCAGACCACCTTAACCCTAACCTTAACCATCTTACTCAGACCACCTTAACCCTAACCTTAACCATCTTACTCAGACCACCTTAACCCTAACCTTAACCTTCTTACTCAGACCACCTTAACCCTAAACTTAACCATCTTACTCAGACTACCTTAACCCTAACCTTAACCATCTTACTCAGACCACCTTAACCCTAAACTTAACCATCTTACTCAGACCACCTTAACCCCAAACTTAACCATCTTACTCAGACCACCTTAACCCTAACCTTAACCGTCTTACTCAGACCACCTTAACCCTAACCTTAACCATCTTTCTCAGACCACCTTAACCCTAACCTTAACCATCTTACTCAGACCACCTTAACCCTAAACTTAACCATCTTACTCAGACCACCTTAACCCTAAACTTAACCATCTTACTCAGACCACCTTAACCCTAACCTTAACATCTTACTCAGACCACCTTAACCCTAACCTTAACCATCTTACTCAGACCACCTTAACCCTAACCTTAACCATCTTTCTCAGACCACCTTAACCCTAACCTTAACCATCTTACTCAGACCACCTTAACCCTAACCTTAACCATCTTACTCAGACCACCTTAACCCTAACCTTAACCATCTTACTCAGACCACCTTAACCCCAAACTTAACCATCTTACTCAGACCACCTTAACCCTAACCTTAACCGTCTTACTCAGACCACCTTAACCCTAACCTTAACCATCTTTCTCAGACCACCTTAACCCTAACCTTAACCATCTTACTCAGACCACCTTAACCCTAAACTTAACCATCTTACTCAGACCACCTTAACCCTAAACTTAACCATCTTACTCAGACCACCTTAACCCTAACCTTAACATCTTACTCAGACCACCTTAACCCTAACCTTAACCATCTTACTCAGACCACCTTAACCCTAACCTTAACCATCTTTCTCAGACCACCTTAACCCTAACCTTAACCATCTTACTCAGACCACCTTAACCCTAACCTTAACCATCTTACTCAGACCACCTTAACCCTAACCTTAACCATCTTACTCAGACCACCTTAACCCTAACCTTAACCATCTTACTCAGACCACCTTAACCCTAACCATCTTTCTCAGACCACCTTAACCCTAACCTTAACCATCTTACTCAGACCACCTTAACCCTAACCTTAACCGTCTTACTCAGACCCACCTTAACTTAATAAGTCCTTAAATGACGACTGGTTAACTGAACTTCCGGACGAATCCGGGAGTGACACCCATGACCACACCTACACCTGCCACACATACATATAACGTCTGTAAAATCTCTGCAGCTGTGTGCACCTGTGCTCCTCGCCCCTTGTTGCTGGTTCATTGTATTGTTTCTGTCTTTGTATGTCTCTGGTTCCTCCTTCTTTTCACCTCGTGACAACAACACAGGAAAGGGCTGGTCAGGGGCCGAAAGAATAAGTGGATTTAATTCATTATACTTTTTGATATAATAATTTAAAATCATCTCAGGGGCCACTGGAAATGGTCTCGCGGGCCGGATCTGGCCCCCGGGCCTTGACTTTGACACCTGTGCCCTAGACAGTATGTCAAAAATGTGAGCCCAAAATGCATCCAATTTAGAACATGCCCAAAACATATGCACATGATTGGCCGGAGAAAATTAGCACCTGCCACAAGCACTTCTCTGCTACTTCTGACGACTCAGTTAGTGTCGTCGTTAGTGATTCAGTGATGGTTTTAGTCCCGAAGTGAAATAAAGGTGTCCCTCAGTGCTGTTTGTCGGTAAACACGCTTATGTAAAGCCCTGTAAAGTAGGCCACCTCTGACGCTTTCCTGAGATCCACAATGCACAATTTCTCTGGAATGGGAGCATTGATCTGCACTAAATCTGCCCAACTTTTTATCCTCCCCCAGTTTGGTGTGACAAAACCACCGGAGCCGAACTAATGCTGTTAAAAAGCTGCACCGGCTGCCATGTGCTTTTGTCTGATGTGATGACTGCTGCTATAGAGAAGAGCTGTGGACTATAATGCCTCCTGTATCACCTTTAAAAAGAGACACAGGCCTGACTCTGCACACGGTTCAATGCCCAGGGCCAAGGATCACGTCCAAGCACTTTTCTAAGTTACAACATCTTACTTTATTTTGGGACAACGGATGCAAATCAGACCAAGGCTAGAAACTCACTCTCTGGAGAACAACGGTAGATTTAAAATGACTGTTTGGTTATCCATCCATTCTCCCTCCCTTTGTCACCCCACAACCCTGAAATGGACAATCAGCTGCCACCCAGTCCTCCAGGACACAATGCTAGCAGACATCAGTAGGAGTCAGTGGAGGTTTCGTGGTGGAATCAAACCCACAACCTTCAGGCTCAAAGGCCAATGCTCTACAAACTGAGCCACTGTCTGATTTGATTATGATTTATGACTGTTTGGTTGATGATGAAGGTTAATGTTCAGAGATAATTATTATTACAGTGATGAGGCTGTAGACGTTTATCAGCTGTTGGTAAATATCTCAAATAAATGGTTTTATAACAACTCACAAAAGGCCCAACTCTTCCTCATCGCCAAATTGTGTTTCTTTCAGCTGCAGCTCCCCATGAAACAAAACAATGGACCATTAACTGAACAAAAACTCTCCCCATTCACCTAGAAATAAAAACAAGAGTAGAAAGGTCTTTTCAGATGCGTCACAGATCCATCTTGGGATAGACCTGGAGCGGGTTTAAAGCTACACATATTTGAGATTTTACTTTTAATGTGTCGCTCAAGATGAAGTCAGAGCCAAAATTTTTAATTTTTTTAATTTTTTATAGCGCAGACATGGGGTAGAAAGGTCAACCCTAACCCTACACTGTGTAAACCCGGATAAGTTGAGTTTACTTAAAAAATTTTAGGAAACTGGTTGCCCTAAAAAAATTAAGTAATGTCTGATGAAAACTTGAGTGAATTTAACTTAAAAAGATGAGTGGATGGCATCTTTATTTTGAGTTCAATACACTCAACACCATTAGTAATATTAATTACTTTGCCCCTTTATTCCACTGAAAACTTTAAGTCAAGTGCACTAACCTCCAAGATGATTAAACTTAAAAACATTACTAATATCAATTGCTTTACATATTTATTCCACTTATAACTTTAAGCTGAATACACTAACCTCCAAGTTGATTTACCTTAAAAATTCCTTTGCCCAATTACTTCACTATCTGAAGAGTAAAATAAAATCTGTTTAATAAAAGAAACCCATACAGATTAAATTAATTAAGAAAATAAAAAGCAAAATCACAAAAGTACATTCTTGTCAACATGTTTTATTAAACTTGTCTTTATCATGTTATCAAACAAAATAGGTTTGCAATCAAAATCAAATAGGACTCTTGAATGAATCAGGATGGCATTAAACTACAAAATCAATGTCAATGCTATACAACATAGGTAGCAATAGGAATTAAACTATATCAGCGCTAATAACACAAGTTATACACCAATCAGCATTGAAGAAAATGGCAAAATCAGTGGCAATGCATAAAAAACTTGCATATCAAACAGGGCCAACAGTAAACATGGTATTTTTAAAGTGCAACATTACAAATAACCAAGCACTCAGATCCAGAGCAGTGGTATACGTATTCAGAACCCTGTTTTATACAGATAGCTGATTCTTCAAAGATAGAATTTTGGGTTTCAGCTCAACTCTGCCCAGGTTTAGCATGACCTGTTGAATAAAGTGGAAGGTGCTTTTCATGCACTTGGGGTAGTCCAAGTGCAAGGCATAAATTAGTCCAAAAAGGACACAGAAAGCCTGTGGCAGGTTGGCCAGCTCCTCCATTACCACACTCCCTTCCAAGACGATGCTCACTCTGGATGGGTTGAGTTGAGGATGTTCGTCAATGCAGAGGATTCCCACTGAAGTTTCACTGTACAAGTCCTTGTCAGTTGCATCCTAACAGAAAAAGAAACGGACAAAGAGACGACATTGTAATGTCAATAATGCTGTGTTGACCACAAAAATTGAGAGAGGACAACACCAATTTTAAATCGCCATAATTTGAACTGTGCATTACAAGAGCCGTTTGAAAACCTGTGTGCTGAAATGGTTTTGTAGCTCAGCAGAGATGGAGAGCTTTGTCAGTCCCAGTCAAGCTGAAAAGTTGTGTAAAAACAATTTCCAGTACAGATGCAATGGGTTCTATGCACAGATCCACTACTTCCTGAACTTAATGCTGCTCCTTTGTTACCTGTCTTACATTATTGGACAAACTGATTAATCCAGGTGTCTGACCATTGTGACTACTCAGACACACCTGGATTATTATCAGTTTGTCCAATAATGTAAAGACAGGAAACAAAGGAGCAGCATTAAGTTCAGGAAGTAGTGGAGCTATGGATAGAGCCCATTGTTGCAGTTACAAATGTAAGACCAGTTTTGTCCTTTAATCTCAAAAAAGTAAGAATTTATGTAAGGGTTTTTTATAGTCCTCAGCAAAATAAACAGAGGGGTCCCTCCCTGTGGCCCCATCTCACACTAGCTGATGGCAATTTCATAGAAAGACAAAGGTGAAAGTTCAAATTTTTGTACAATGTTAATTTGTTTGTAATTTAGAGTAAGTAGTAGTAATTTATTTTTTACAGTAAATTCATATCAGATGGTCAAGTTGTGAATCAATAATGCAGATATTCAAAACAAATTCAGTTACTTACCGAGCAGGTTTTGAAGAACGCAGAGGGGTCATCCCCCAAGACGACTGGCAGTCCCCGAAGACAAAGGCACCTGATGTCTGTTGGCTCAGTGGTCTGGAAGATAGTGGACATAACTAAGTACACTCATACTGTATATGCTTAAATAGATTCCAGAAAGTCGCCACAATTTAATTAATTCATTACAAACTTCCTGGAGAGAAAGTAGAGAGGAGTGGGTAGAAGAACAGAAGAGTAGATATAAAAAACAAGAAAAGAGCAAAGTATATAGAGTAGGATAAAAGAGGAGGAAATGGAAACGGGAGAGCAATGAAAAGTAATGAGATGAGAAGAAAGAGGAAAGAATAGAGAGGCAAGATAGGCAGTCAGCTTAGGTAGACAAGTCAGCCTACCTTTGTCTGACGTAAAAGGTCAGTTAAAACCTGTCCACTGAGGCCCTTCTTCTTCCTGAAGAGGTCCATCAAGTTTGGCGAGAAACGGTCAAGTGCCTCAAAGAAGTTTTCTTTGAGATTTTTCCCCACCACACGGGTGAACTCGCAACACACCTGAAAATATAAAACATAGCCCAACGGTCAAATGAAAGATATTTATGACCCTCAACACAACACAATTTAGGTCACAGTGTTAACCACTTTTTGTAAATACTCAAAACAGGCATACAAACCTGGCTCTCAGAGAAAAGTGCTGGCCATCGCTGTACAATCTGGGTAATTGCAGGCTTGTCTGTCACAACTTCTTTTCTCCGAAGAGCAAAGGTCCTATCCATTTCTTTCTTAATAAGGGACCCATTTGGCTTCGCTTTCATCATTTCATTGACTAGAACCTGGCGAGCTGCTTCCAGGTTGTGGTCATCCAACCCCTCTGGATACTGAGGCAGGAAATTTATTTCTCCTTTCCTTGGCTTTTTGATGTCCTTGTTTGGAGGGTCGCCATTTGTAGAGTATCTTCCACGTTTACCACTATTGACAGTGACGTCAAGTCGGCCCAGCTTGCACATTTTGGCTCTGTAATTTCCAACCTTGAACTTCAAACTGTTCTTCCATCCAAGACAGCCAGAGGTTGACCCTGCTTCTTTAAGACATGGGTGTGTTTCTACTAAAGCTTGTGCAACAGCCGCTAAATCATCCTTTGTTGGGTATGCATCAAATGCATAGATGACCTCAGCCAATTTCTCAAGGATATCATGCTTTAGCTCTTTTGTCACTTTGAGATAGGTTCCATCCCTGAGATATAACAAGTTACCTTGACGGAGTCGGTACTCAACATCAACTGAAAATTTAGGAATTTCAAACACCTCTGGCCATGGCACACTTCTATCCAGAGAGGAGACGGACAAGATCTCGGTGTCTGCCAAGCTGATTGTGTCACTACTCAATGAAGATTGTTCAAGTGGTCGTTCAACTGGTTCAGTGACTGGTACCAATTCAACCATAGGGATGATTTTAATGGTTGGCTTATCTGGGAGGTCTGAGGCATCTTCAAGGTTACACAGTTCATTGTTAAAGTCGGGGTCTTGGTACTGTAGGACGAAGTTGTAATTTGCTTGGAGAGTGCCTTTAAGCCAGCCAATCAACTCTTCAAGTGTGTCCGGTCGTGTTGTCATTGTAGACTTTCTGATGTCTCCCTCTGAGACAATAACCCTCATGATGAATTTCTCTTGCATAGCCATCTGGGGAGAAAGGATATACTCAATAATTTAGCAAATAACATATCGTTTCAGTGTTTACCATAAGTTCTCCTTGGACCCTGTATGCTGATAACGGGAGGACATCATTCAGCTCCAATATCTTGACCACATATGTGGCGGGGATATCACCAGAGTGAAGTTGGTAAGATCTCAAATGCTCACAGTACCATGCGGTCATTTTGTGGCAGATGAACAGGATTTCTGTGTTAGCTGTAACAATCTTTTCAATCTGGGCAAATTCAGAGAGACCTGAGCATGAGCCAAAAGAGAGAATCATGCCTGGATGATACATGATTCCATCTATGCAGACAGATGACACATCCAGAACAGACTCTACCTTTGCAATGTCTCGAGCAAATACTCTCTGAACATTCAAAGGGAAAGAGGCAAGCAAAACTGGGGTAACCCTTGTCATTTCCACCGATGGTTTTAAAAATGTGCTGCAGTCAAGATGGTAACTGACTGCTTTCTGGTGTTTTGTAGCAAGTGTCATTGCAACATTTTTGAAATTTTGAGCGTTCCGAATTGCTTTTTTAAAGAACTTATGTTTCCCCTCGAAGCGCATTGTCCAAACATCGCACAAGGGACCAAACTTCCTCACAAGGTAAGGATAGTGTTCCAGGTAGTGATGCTTTGGCTTTAACTTAAAACCTGGAAAAGTTGACTGCAGCAGCAGTCTGTGTTCTGTTATTTTACATTCCATGAAATGCAGTGTCTCTTCAGTATGCCTTGGTGCCACAGCCAGCTCGATTATGTCTTTAAGAAGCATCAGAATTTCCCAAGTGTCATCACCCTCAGGAACACAGTGACCAATGAGAAATGGGAGGAGCCTTATGAGACACCAGTTCTCATGGCCATTTCCACCAATGCTTCCTTTGGTGGAAAATCCCTTTCCGATCATCTGAGGGCGATCTGTTTTGTCTGTGAATGTATAATCAAAGTGTCTGATGGACTGATTAAGTGTATCTAACGTGAAATACCTCTTGCTTATCAGATTTTTAAGACACAGGGACAACTCAGTTGGCACAATGCCTTCAAACAGATCATGCAAGATGTCAGGAGGATACCCGGTGACCACATGAAAGTGCTCGAGATTTTCAGTTAATGGACATGCTCTTTTCACACCATATATCTGACTGAGTGATGTGTCCTCTCTCACCTCCTGCACTTGCCTATCATGAGAGTCTTTGTCTCTGAGCTGAAAAAATCCAGAACAAACCTCTTGCTGTTGTGCGTCTCTGCTGCTCGCTAGACAGAATCTGCAGAACTTGTCGACCGTGAAGCTCTCCATGAATCCTGCAAGAGAGTGAGCACCAAGATTATCAGCGGCAACATATAAGACTGTGCCCTTCACACTTGCACCTAGTGACTCTATGTAAACACCATTTTGCTCCAATATCTTTAGATCATAGATGAGAGGTTGCAGAACTTTTGCATAACCACACTCTTTAACTGTAGACGTATTGCATAGTAGAGCAAGCTGGATTGAGTTGAGGGTGGACCTGTATTTTGCAGGTATGTTTGCAATGACCCAGTACACGGCACACATTTTATGTTTCAGCTTTGATGTACCTAGAGGATTGGCGACTTCAAAGTCATCAATGTAAAGGCCAAGAGCAATTGTGAACTCATCGCTCGCAAGAAGAGAATTTTCATTAAAGTACTGCCCATCTGCATAAGACGTGTATTCCTGCAGTACATGGACTTTTTCTGACAAAGCTTTATCTAACACGTCAGTTTTGTTAAGCAGCTTCTGGAGCATTGGAACAATGGGGACATATGCAAGTGGTTTTCTGCCTTTTTCCACAACATATTCAATAGGGTTTACCAGTGGGAACTCTTTGCGTACATAGGCTGCTCTCTTCTTAGCAGTTCCTAAGGGTCCATCTTTGGCACAAAATGACATCATGTTACACTCTGACACAGCACTGGTAATTTCGCTCACAACTGTATCATCCACATTATCAAAGTAATTATTTAGTGTAGCCCTCACTTTGTTATGCAGAAGTGGCTCTGACAGCTTATTGATTTCACAAAGCTGCTGTAATACCTCTTGCACAGAACTCTCTGGTATGTGCATAACTGTTTGCATCTTTAACAGAAGAGATGCTAAGTTGTGCTCTAGCTGCTTTCCTAAATCACGAATATCATTCTCACTAGCTTCTTCACTAACTCCTTCCAACTCTGCCATGTCATCAGCTTGTGATATTTGCTCTTGTGCACCATCCTGATCATGACTTTCATAATCACAACCAATGATTTCTGACTTGAACCTCTTCCAGCTGTGTTCCTTGTGTGCTTTACTCTTGTGTGCTTTGAACGTGGAGTAGACACTGCTTTCAAAGTCACAGTCTTTATAAGGGCAACTGACTTTATGGTTGACTTTTAAGTGTGCATTATGCAGGTGACTAAAGTAGTCAGTTTCAGTGCAAAACTCAGCAAACCCACATGACAGACAACAAAACTTTACTTGTACATCTACAGTTGGTTGCTGTTCTGAAGTTCTGGAGTGAAGGCGGGATAAGTGTACTCTTAGTGCATTGAGTGATTTGAATGTACACAGACATTCCTGGTGTAAACATGGAAATGGTTCTGTTCTTGCATAGCTCCCATGTTTTAGTCTATAGTGCTTAAATAGCTGTGCTCTCTTTTCACAGATGAAAGGGCAGTACTTACACTTCCACAACATGTCTTCTGGAGACCTGCAACACAATAAAAAAAAAACAACATAAGAGATGGGGAAGTAATGTTAGATTTGCCTCTACAATCTATCTGTATTTTGAGACTCTTAATTCTGGATAGTGATAAAACTGTATAATGCCATTTGTTTGACGTTCACTTCTTAAAAAGTAATGTTACTCTGTGAAAGTAAAGAGGATCACATACACATTGCAATGTCACAGCCTGGTCACATGAATACAGTTAGCATTTTACAGATGATTTACTAACAATTAATGGCAGTTATCTAGAGTGAAAAAGTACACAAAAAATATCCAGTTACCGTGGCAAGAGCAAAAATCCCAATGCTGAAAAACAGTAGCTTCAAATGTCTGTTTAAGCAACCTTTTCAACCGGCCACAACACTGAAGGTTAGGGTTCAAGAGCAGATTCAAAATGTAGGTTTGAGCGGGAGCTGCTCACAACTAGCTACTAAAGCTATGTGTGTCCGTTAAAATGCTAACAGTGCTAGCCAAATGTGTCTTAACATTAGCACGTCAGTTTAGCTAATGGTAACGTTTTTTCACTGCTCTAATAGTCGAGCTAGTGCTAACTTAAAAAAATCAAAAGCCACCACAGAGTGGTGGTCGGTCACTCACCAGATTCAGTCTCCTGTCGCCCTCTTTCTTCGTCTCTACTCCACTCGAGGCACACGTCCTCCGGCAGCGCGGCGCCAACGGCTTATTTAGTGACAAAATGAGCTACAGGGTCCGCGGTAGTGGAACTGCTGTTTCCACTGCTTACAAACTACTCCTCGCTGTAAAAAGAACTAATAAGTTGTAAAATGTCTCTCGGACACAACAGCAGCGAACCGTTTAAAATATACGCAGGAGAAGTGACGTGCTGCAACATGCCTTCAGGTTGCTGCATTCAAGTGGTGTCAGAATAATCGGGTAAATTAATTTCCGACTGACAAAAATCACACACGAACACTGATAGGTAGTAAATCTCTGCCCATGTAGAGTGTAATAGATTAGTGAGTTATTTATTTGCATAAATCCTGATAGCAAGTCAATATTTTTGTGATTTTAGGTATTGTAGAGTCTACTAGTAGAATACAACAACAAGTCTGGGATAAAATCACTGATAAAAAGCTTAATAGGGTTTCTGCATAGTTGATAACGACGTGAATTATCACCGGAAAGGGATAACCATGTCTTTTTAAATGTTTTGAGTATTAAAACATAAAACTTCTTCTTTGTAGCATCCACAAAGTTGAAAAATGACCTCGGGAAAACCGAACCTTCCTACACTACTTGAATGCAGAGGGAATTTTAGAGGCGTGGTCATGACCAAAACTTAAAAATTCCGTGCCACTTAACTTAAAGTTAGTCATTCATGACATTACTTTCAAATGTAAGTATATTCTACTTCGAATTAGTAGACTGGGCTTAAATTTGATAGTTCTACAATCAAACTTAAATTATCTATGTATGTTGAAATTGCTTGTTTGAGTAGAAATGAAATCCGTCAGGTGGTGTAGGTGTGTAGGTGGTGTAGGTGTGTAGGTGGTGTAAGTGTGTAGGTGGTGTAAGTGTGTAGGTGGTGTAAGTGTGTAGGTGGTGTAAGTGTGTAGGTGGTGTAGGTGGTGTAGGTGTGTAGGTGTGTAGGTGGTGTAAGTGTGTAGGTGGTGTAGGTGTGTAGATGGTGTAGGTGGTGTAGGTGTGTAGGTGGTGTAGGTGGTGTAGGTGGTGTAAGTGTGTAGGTGGTGTAGGTGGTGTAGGTGTGTAGGTGGTGTAGGTGTGTAGGTGGTGTAAGTGTGTAGGTGGTGTAGGTGGTGTAGGTGTGTAGGTGGTGTAGGTGTGTAGGTGGTGTAGGTTCTCATCCATCATCTATTTCTACAATAATAAAGTGTCATAAACGACTGAACCTTGTCCATAAACTCGACAGCCCGACTCCACCACACATTAGCCGCGTTGCTATATAAGCCTCAGGGTTTATAGTCAGGAAGTTGCATGAAGTCATATTTATTTATATCGCTCTTTTCACAGACTCACACAGTTTTTTGCTTTACTATTCTCCCTCTCCCTCCGCACACAGGAGCAGAGTCACCTGGTCACGCCGCATGTCGGACCCATGGTATGTTTAATGGTAGGGGCGTTAGTGTGCCTTTGTTTATATTTTTGTGCGTTACTTTGATGAATGTCTTTCTCTTAGTTCTTAACGTTTGTCTAACTGAGTCGTGTTAATTCTCCTGGTGCATAAATAGCAGTTGTCACCTGCTCATCTGACTCAGGCGTGAACAGAAGTCTCTGTCACTGCAGCTGCTGTCACTGCTTTATCCAACACTTTCTACACTGCTGCAGGTTCTATATGATGCCAATGTACCTCTATATATACAGTGTTGTTACAGTGTTGTTACAGCCCTATCTATGGCTCTATCAGATCTATGGTTGCCACGGAGACCAAGGGGACGACACGAGCACCAGACCAGAGCTTTTATTCAGAAATAATTATAATGATATTGCTGTGATCAGTTATCATGTGTAGGTTTGAGTATTAAATGAGTATTAAATGAGAATATGTTACTGTTGTTGTGTTGTGTGTGTCTGTTGTGTGTGTGTGTGTCTGTTGTGTGTAAGCGAGTGATGGGCTGTGGTGCGAATGACTGTCACTATGACCTTTGTGTTTATGTACGTGTTGAGTGAAAGTGCGTCTAAAGTCAAATCATGAGAAAAACGAGAGAGAGAGACCAGAGGGAGACCAGAGGGAGACCAGAGAGAGACCAGAGAGAGACCAGAGAGAGACCAGAGAGAGACCAGAGGGAGACCAGAGAGAGACCAGAGAGAGACCAGAGAGAGACCAGAGAGAAACCAGAGAGAGACCAGAGAGAGAGACCAGAGAGAGACCAGAGAGAGACCAGAGAGAGACCAGAGAGAGACCAGAGGGAGACCAGAGAGAGACCAGAGAGAGACCAGAGGGAGACCAGAGAGAGACCAGAGAGAGACCAGAGAGAGACCAGAGAGAAACCAGAGAGAGACCAGAGAGAGAGACCAGAGAGAGACCAGAGAGAGACCAGAGAGAGACCAGAGAGAGACCAGAGAGAGACCAGAGAGAGACCAGAGAGAGACCAGAGAGAGACCAGAGAGAGAGACCAGAGAGAGACCAGAGAGAGACCAGAGAGAGACCAGAGAGGGACCAGAGAGGGACCAGAGAGAGACCAGAGAGAAACCAGAGAGAGAGAGACCAGAGAGAGACCAGAGAGAGACCAGAGAGAGAGACCAGAGAGAGAGACCAGAGAGAGAGACCAGAGAGAGAGACCAGAGAGAGACCAGAGAGAGACCAGAGAGAGAGACCAGAGAGAGACCAGAGAGAGAGACCAGAGAGACCAGAGAGAGAGACCAGAGAGAGACCAGAGAGAGACCAGCAGACAGTGAGGTCATGTTCGGAGGGGAGAAGGCGTAGGCCGTGCTCATAACAAGTATTTTGTACAGATATTACAGGACTAAATATTGAAAGCTATATTTTTATCCATTAACTGTGGTAAAACATCTACATAAAGCTGCTTTTTATTTCTGCGGAGAAAGTATTTTAATGCTCTGACCTTGAGTATAGATTTCTAGTGCTCTCAATGAGCATTATATTGTTTAATTACTCATACAAATATTCTAAAAATAATGTAACGGTTGTGTGTTTTATGTACTGTAAACACCTGTAATGACTGTGAATATATATATACAGTATGTTTTTATTTAATAATTTATTACGAACCTACACAATACATATTTTTACTTATATAGAAAGTGAGTAAGTTTATAGTGACCAGAGTCACAAAGCACTTTACAATAGTTTTTTTTTTTTTTTTTGGTTTTGGGTCCGACCCCATCACACAAATGTGTATATATATGTATGTATCTATCTATATAGATATATATATATATATATATATATATATATATATATATATATATATATATATATATATATATATCCATCCATCCATCCATTTTCTACCCTTTAATCCATTTCTGGGTCAGGGGGGTGGCAGTCAGAGATGCCACCCAAGTCTCATTCCCACCTCTGCACCTTCTCCACCGACTCCCACTGATGACTGCTGTCGTTGTGTCCTTGGGCAAGACACTTAACCCCACTTTGCCCAAAGCCCCCACTGAAAGATCAAGGCTATGCTCACAGTCAAGAGAGCAGCCATCCTCCTGTGGACTCACCACCTGCAGAGGGTCAGTGAGGGGCTGGTGCTATGAGACTATATATATATATATACCAAAAAAATTGTCCACTCACCTTTGGCCCTCCGTGGGCGGTTATCCCTCTCTAAAGCCTAGCGTACATCGACAGAGAAACTGGGGACAACTAGTTGCAAGGCGGCTTTTGGCAACTGAGAGGAGATGGTGGAGATGATCAGTTGAAATCGGTCGATGTGAGCGCTCTTACAACTGGAGATGATCAGTCGGTCTCCAGTTTCAGTCAGTTGCCCGTGTTCTACTTTTCGGCAACTAGTTGTCCTCAGTTTCGGAGATATGACCCGATGTGCGCGCTCCATGCGCCGCTCCGACAACGTGTGTGTATTGCGTGTATTGCGAGCCCGCAACAGTTTATGTCAGAAAACACACTGTAGTTGAGGCCAGTTGCTGTCGATGTACGCGCTGTTATTCCCGAGACTGGTCTTATACTGGGAGTTGCCCCTTTTCGTCAGATTGTCGATGTGTGCGGGGCAGCAACTCATATGCGACGGATATAATCAGTTCCCAGTCCGATGTACACTAAGCTTAAGCTCGGGTCCTCTACCAGAGGCCTGGGAGCTTGAGGGTTCAGTATCTTTGCTGTTCCTAGCACTGCACATTTCTGGACCGAGATGTCCGAGGTTGTTCCAGGGATCCGCTGTAACCTCTTCTAGCTTCGGGGTCACTGCCCCGAGTGCACCATCACCACGGGCACTACTGTGACCTTTACCCTCCAGGCCCTCTCCAGCTCCTCTCTGAGACCTTGGTATTTCTCAAGCTTTTCATATATATATATATATATATATATATATATATATATATATACAGTGCCTTGCGAAAGTATTCGGCCCCCTTGAACCTTTCAACATTTCACCACATTTCAGGCTTCAAACATAAAGACATAAAAATTAAAAATTTTCTCAAGAATCAACAACAAGTGGGACACAATCGTGAAGTGGAACGAAATTTATTGGATAATTTAAACTTTTTTAACAAATAAAAAACTGAAAAGTGGGTAAACGCTTTGTGATTACTGTGTGTGTATTTACCTCTGCTGGGGCTATAATCAGTGTCAAAGGGGCGGAGTCCGCAGCATCATCACATCAGAATTTTGGGAAAGTTAGCGTCAGATTCGGACCTCTGCGGTCAATATCTCACGAAAGCTACTTTGTTAAATTAATTGTGCCAAAATGATCATTTCCATCAATTGTTCAAATCCAATGTTGTGTTTTAAGGAACATAAATCCATTGAATCATCCAGTTCACTGCAAGCGCAGAGAAAAGCACTTAGGGAGCGTCAACAAATGGCAAGACCAGCTTTGTAAACGAACAATAGCTTTTACTGAAGTCATGCACCTGCACAAAACTCTGACACTTTAAATAATGACCATGTCTAACTCCTGCAGGCTTTGATTTCAACATTTGTGAGTTTTTAACATAATTTAAATGAATACATATGTTTTTTTTATTTAAATTGCTTTTACAGTGAATGGTCTTTACTGTAACACACATAAATAATGTATGTTACAACATTTGTCTCGTCATTTGTCTCACAACTCAAAACATATATATACTAGATTCTAATATATAAATAAGTAACACTCTTGACTTGTTCATTCAAGAACCTGATAGACCTACATTGAAATTCACACACCAAATTATATTGCAATATGAATTTTAGGCCATATCGCCCTCCCCTAATATATATATAATATAATATATATATATAATATATAATGTATGTATATACTGAATATATAGTCATGTTTATACAGTGTGAGGTAACAAAAGGGCAGATATTATAAGACTGCTCCGTTTCATTCACACCGTGTGCTTTTGTTGTTGTGATCTATCTTTTTTGCGTATTTCCCAAAACACAACCATGTGGACAAAGAGGTTGTTGCAGTAACGATGGTTAAGGAGGAACAGAGCGGCAGAGAGCGAGGGGTAAAGGGGTTTGAGCACGGCCATGTCGCTGGGTAAGACAACGGGGTATAAATAGCCCTGCCCTGGTTTGGTTGCTGGCACGCACGCACACGCACACGCACACACACGCACACGCAGGCACACACATACCCATGCACGCACGCGCACACACACACACACACGCATGCACGCACACACATACCCATGCACGCACGCGCACACACACACACGCATGCACGCACACACATACCCATGCACGCACACACACGCATGCATGCACACACATACCCATGCGCGCACACACACACACACGCGCACATACACACACACACACACGTACACACACCCTGATCCAGTTGCCACTATGCACTCTTTCCTTGTGGTTTGGCTGCCCTTCAAGAGTTGTCTCGTTGGAAAGGGGTTTTTGGCGTGTCTCGTCTGACCTCGCTCATGTGTGTCCAGCCATGTGCACACGTTAATACCATGTTTGGGTCTCACAGCCAACACACACACACACGCACACACACACACAGAGACACACACACACACACACCAATAATCACCTGTGCTACATTCTCATAGTGTTTGAACTAAAATGTATAAGTAATGTTTATTTATATAGAGCATTATTGACCAAGATCAGCCAAAGTGCTTGATAATGTTCAGATATACAGTAGTTCCATTCTCTCCACACGGGGATGAGGAAGAGAGAACACACTGGTCCATGAAAGCCTCCGACCAAACACCCTCCAGAATATCACCAGCAGTTTTTAACAGCCATATCCCAAACTGAGGACCGCTTCTTTATACACACTTAAAGCACTCAAGTCCAGGCACGTGAAGGAGGTGGAAGGAGGAGGTGCAGGAAGGAGGTGGAGGAAGGCGGAAGGAGATGGAAGGAGTTGGAGGAAGGAGACGGAAGAAGGAGGAAGAAGGTGGAATGAAGAAGGAGGAAGGAAGTGAAGGAAGGAGGAAGAAGGATCAAGGAGGTGGAATGAAGGAGGAAGGAGGTGGAAGGAGGAGGAAGGAGGAGGAAGGAGGAGGAAGGAGGTGAAGGAAGGAGGTGAAGGAAGGAGGAAGGAGGTGGAAGGAGGAGGAAGGAGGTGACCCCAGTGTTTTGTCTGAATATTCTAACAGTGTGAGTGTGTGCTGGACGATGTTAACCTTAACCCAGGCCGGTCCAAACTCAGGCCCGGGGGCCAACTGAGGCCCTCCGTGTCATTGTATGTGGCCCTCTGCCTCGCTAACCCAAAGTAGTCTCTGAGATCATAAACACAAGTTCACTGTGTCATCCAGCCAACTTCAGTTCAGTTATAGATCCTCTTAAACCTCAGAACAGCCCGATGTCAGTCAAGACAGTTTTTCAGTCCGTGATGTCGGGCCCTGGACTAGTCTGAACTAAAGTGGCTCTTACTAATAAGTTTGGACACCCCTGCCTTAACCATCACTGTTGGTTAAATACCATGTGTTTGTGATCTGCACTGGTTTATTCTCAGAGCTCCTCCTCCTGGTTTAACGCTTTAGTCTTTTTAACAAAAAGAATCAGGTTGAGTAGTGTCGTCCTCTGCTGTCTTTATTTTTCATTTATTTTATTTTATTTGATCAATAAAACAAAAACAACTTCCTGATCTGGCTTTACACCCCTCCTCATCATCAGTAAATGTATCTCTGGGAGCGATTAGCTGCTGACCAATCATCTCCATCTTGTGATAGTGCTAATTGGAGGATGCTATCGTGTCTCTGGTGTTTGCACCGATCGACTCTGGCTCAGCGCCGCCGAAAAACAGGCCCAGCACGTTCTGTTTCCTTTACAAGCTCAATGTGTTAGCAAACATCTGGAACAGTCTTCCTGAAAGCGTGAGACAGGCTTCTTCTCTGATGTTTCAATCCACTTTGAAAACAGTTTAGTTTAGCTGTGACTGAGGGATTTTATATTTTCATCTTTCTTTTTAACGGACTGTGATTATTTATGATTTTAATGCTTTCTTATTTTGTTCAGCACTTTGAGTTTGAGACAAAGAAAGGACTGTGAGACCAGAGAGAGACCAGAGAGAGACCAGAGAGAGACCAGAGAGAGACCAGAGAGAGACCAGAGAGAGACCAGAGAGAGACCAGAGAGAGAGACCAGAGAGAGACCAGAGAGAGAGACCAGAGAGAGAGACCAGAGAGAGAGACCAGAGAGAGACCAGAGAGAGAGACCAGAGAGAGAGACCAGAAAGAGGACTGTGTCCAGACTTTTAACCGAGCTCTTATAATAATCAATAACTCTTCTGGCCCCTGGAAAAGCCATGTTCCAGCTTCTTCCCTCTGGCAGAGGATACCGTTCTCTGATATACAGGACATCTCCATATGCTGACCGCTTCTTTCCACAAGCTGTTATATGTCAATTGTTTACTATTTTGTTTGTTTTGTTTCTGTACTTGTGCACACTGGGAACTTTTGCAAATCTATTCCAATGTGGTTTTACTGCAAATGGCAAACGAAAATGAAATGAAAATGATTAAATGAGTTGCCTTGTGTTGTTGTGCTATACAAATTACTGCCTTACCGTAAAAGTCCATATTCATCCTCCATTGTTCTTGGCTGCACCCAATCCAGTCCATATCCATGGGCGTCTGCGGCTCTGACCCCGGACCGCAGCTCAGACCGCAGCCCGTGCCAACTGCGTGTCTGCATGAGTGCGACTGATGCGTGTCCCTGCAGCGCCTGCTTCCTCGCCGTGACCTGGACACGCTTGTTGCCAAGATACTGACAATGGACCGAGGGCTTTTTCCATCGGGCGCCATTGTTCTTTTTCCACATTCATGTATCTTTTCTCTCTCCAAAGCTCGAAGGTTGAACTCTGAACTCCTGGATCTCATCTGTCAATCAAAAGTCCACACCTACACAGTCCAGCCCACATCCGAGCTGCAGCTGTAATTAGTCCACAGAGGACATGGGTTTTTGGGATTTTTACACCAAATATTCTTCTGTTAATGCCCGTTTTGGACTTCTAAATATGAACATGAAATAACACTCTATCATGAGAGAGACATCTGACCTGAGGGGGAAGCGTTGGAGAGCATAAAATGATCGGAAACATGCATAATTTCAAAAACATTCAACGTTTTATGCTAATTGTCGTTTATCGTGGGATTTGACAAAAGGATTTCAGGAAAAGAAAAAGTTGTGAGTTTGGATTTTGGTCATGGTTTGGTTATGTTGCTGGGCACATACACAACATTATTGGATCATAATCGGATAATAACGATGTAAGTCAAACTTGTGTCAGACCTCTGAAGCTCAGCCGGGCAGGGCCTGGTTAGTGCAGTGATGGGAGACCTCTGGGAACAGCAGGTGCCACAGTGCGGCGGCTGCGGCTGTAAAGTGCCAAACTGCGGCTGTGTCCTTGGGCAAGACACTTCGCCCACATTAGAATGAGTCTGGTGTGTGTGTGAATGGTTGGTGGTGGTGGGAGGGGCTGATGGCACAGACTGGTTGCCTCGCTTCTGTCAGTGTGCCCCAGGGCAGCTGTGGCTACAGTAGTTTATCACCACCGTGTTTGGAGAGAGAGAATAATGATGTGAAGAGACTTTGAGAGTCCAGAAAGCGCTGAATAAAACTGATTTATTATTATTATAAATATTATTAGTCCTATTGTACATGTTTTAGTGGTATAGGTCAAAGTACCACTAAATTCCGATTAAATGTTTTGTAAATAAAGATAATTGAATTGAAGAGGGTTAAAGTTGGATTACTAAACCTTGACAGCACAAATAATTAGCTATGCAAATCCAACTATCTATATCCTAACTTTCTAAACACACACATTATTGACATTGACAGTTGCCATGGTTACCTCCTGTTGGGACCAACTACAACAGCAAAGGTACTTCACTCTTTTCAACACTGACTTACGCATTCTTTTTTACTTTACATTTGTGACACACTGCTGCCGTATTGAACTGTAACAGAAGGCCCGACTTGTTGGTTTCAAATCAATAATAAATCTTAACGGCGGTAACATGTAAATAACAATAAGCCTTTCTATTCTGTGCTGTTTCCACACAGGCCCAGCTGCTGAATAATGCTAACACTGACAATGATTTATGCTTTCACTTTGCTGCGGCTCCATGCGTGTCTCTGGCTTTATTAAACGTGTGTGTGTGTGTGTGCATGTGTGTGCGTGCGTGCCTGTGTGTGTGCGTGCCTGTGTGTGTGTGTGTGTGTGTGTGTGCCGAAGGAAATGAGGTGACCCGGTGCCGTGTGTGAACTCTTTGTGACAGAACGCCTCGTCAGACGTCTGGGGAGTGCAGGCCAATCATCTGTGCTGTCGGTCTTCTGCTGCTACACGTGTGTAACGGGCCAAAGCTCACGCAGGAGACATGTGCAGACAGTAGATGTACATGTACAGACATGTGCAGACAGTAGATGTACATGTACAGACATGTGCAGACAGTAGATGTACATGTACAGACATGTGCAGACAGTAGATGTGTCCATGTTCACTTCCATGTGACCTTCTAGAACTACCTGTTGGCGTGTGTCTGTCTGACTATCGCCCTATACACCAAAGGTTCTCAACTGGTGGGTCCGGACCTGTGGGAGTGGCTCCAAAAGGTCCATGAGTATGTGGCTGATGGTGGTGGGGGTGTACCCGGAAAGAGAACTACCCAATGCTTTTGTATAGGGCTGGAAAGTCTCGTCCCAGAAGCACTTCCGGTTCATTGCTCGGATACAAACAAACCGTCAGCTGTTGGAAGAGGCGGTTTAAATGAATGGTGCAAAATGCTCTGCTTTGTTTTCGGCTGTTATCATCAAAGTTTACATGAAGCATGCTCATTTTTTAGGTTTCCCAAAGACCAACTGAAGCTGTGTAAAAAGCTATGCAGTTGTGATAAAACATTTTGTCTGATTTTACAGATGGTTAACTTGAATATGTATTCAAGCTAACCTGTAGCTAATGCTAACCTGTAGTGCGCGGCCAGCCTCATTGTGGCTTGTATTTTAAGATAAGATTAACTTTATTGTTGTCACACAGGATACATTTATTTATTTGAGAGATAAAGGAGGAACATATTAGCACATATTAAATAACATTCAAATATAAACAGAAAACGGACAATCATAATATTAGTAGTAAATGAATAGGTAGCCCAACTACATCATGTTATTTTTGACAGACAGCAAAAAGAAAAAAGGCCCAATGTGAAGCTGCAGTGAGTGTGAAGAGGAGATGGAGCTGATGAACAGATTAAACTGATCATTCATAAACATTGGCTCATAACCAACGCAGCATATATAGTGTTTCAATATTGACTTTCTGATGCATAATAGTGGATTAAAAAACAATAAGTTTGAACACGGCCCTGCACCTTTCTCATCTCCCCGTCATATAAACTTCAGGACATGGTCAGTTCACCGCTAATTCCGACCGCTCACTCAGTTTTTCTGTCCCACAGACGAAATTAGTCCAAAATAACACAGGAAAGTCCTTTAAGGAGGAAGAAGTCAGCGATCTCAGCACCATACAAGTGGCACGTGTGGTTTGTTTGTATCCACGGGTGGAAATCTCGCAAAATTCCAGCCCTATAGCGTCTTCTTTCTACTTTTTTGGTCCAAAAGTGGTTCTGGGTCCTCTTGGTTCCCGATGCTGTCTGAGGGGAGTAAATGTTTTTTAGATGAACGGAGCTAGTGCAGCTAACACATGAACAAATGTGTTTTTTCACCATTTCCCCGCGGCCATTTTGAAAAAGCCACAGAAGGCAACAGTGATGTTTAAACGATAAAGACGTGACTACATCTTTAATCTTTACAGTCTGTGGTCGAGACTCTTAAGTGGGTCACGAGTCTTTCAGAGCTGATATAATCTTGATTCCGAGCAAAAATATATTTACATTTTTCTGTACAATTCACTTAAACTACACGCTCCTGGTTCCTTCGCTCTGGATGCATTTAGATCAAGATTAGTTTGAATATAAGTAATAAATAAAAGAAAAATGAAATATTATTATTCATTTTGACTTATTCCCTTTTGAGCTGTGACAGGAGGAAAAACCTTAAATGTATTAATATATTAAAGTATGTATTTGAGTGTGTTCACAGTTAAGTGTCAATTGAAGTATCTCGACTTTAAAAGGTTATAACTTAAAAACTAAAATTACTTTCATAGATTGGAAAAAAGATTTCAAACACAGACACATCAAAGAGATAGTGTGGATAAAATCAAAAGGAAAGATTGTCAAATATATTTTTGGTGACATTTTAAACGACAAAATCAGCCTCTTTTTTGACCATTCTACTGTGACGCCAGTTACATAGAAAATAAAATGTACTCAGTCTGAAAAAGCGGCAGATGAAATCCCACAATATTTACATGGTTAACACAACATCAGGAAATCACTTGATTATAAAAAGGAATCGTTAAAAAATTAAAAATAATTAATTCATTAAATGACCCTTGAAAAATGTATAACGGACGTGATGGTTTCCGTCCTCTTTTCTCTAAAATTTTAACTTGAGAAAGAAAACATTTTTGTCTGGTTTCACATTTAATTGGTTGACTAAATGAAAGTATCACTTTGTTTCTACTTTGTGTAAAAAAAATAGAATCTCTGAATCAATTGTGGACATCTGAAAATACCATCAAACTTCCACAAAGCTCATTCCGTCAAATCATCATCGGCCGTTAGATAAAATAAACAGGGCCGCTATAGGAAACTTGTCTAATGTATAAAACAGTTTTGTTCTAGCAACTTCTAATGAACAGAGCAGGTGCTTGGAAACATGAAAAACATAAAATATCTTCTGATTATTAAAATCTAATTTTTGGCCTTCTGTCACACTTTTGTGCCCTTTAGTGTGAACAAGCCCATTTATGTATGTTTGATGCATGATATATAATTGCAGTAGATTCTATAATTTAATCCAGTGTGTATAAGCTTGAACTTAAACATAAGTATAAAATAAAAATATATTTGTTGACTCAAAATATGTTGCTAAATAATATATTACTAAATAAAAATCTGTTTTATATCATTACATATTTATCTATTTTTAGCACACACCTTTTTTTTAGTGCATCTACTACACTGCAAAACGTAAATACAAATTTAAATTGGATTTAAGAAAGAACTTAAAAATGTCTTACTGTGTCTATTTTCTTCATGGTTATGTGGTTTGTACTTAATGTAATTGTCATCTGTAGTTTAAGCTTTAGTGTTATTCCATTAAAACAAAAATGAGTTGTTTTCTTAATATAATTCAGTTTTAATGAAGTGGCTTGGTTACCTACAAACCTGCATATTCAAGAGTTTGAGGTTTGAAGTTGAATAAACCAAATTGTCATTAGAGCCGTCTTTGCGGTCCCTGAAAAGCAGACATGTCCTTTGCATCCAGACACATTAAAAGGTGAATGTAGCAACACAACATGGCAGACATTAAATATTGTGGTTTGACGTAGACGAAGCCCACGCTCTCTGTGCTCATCAGACACACGTCCCACTGACAGCGACGGATGCTGCGCCGCTGTCATTACACTGCTCTCTGCTTCACTCTCTGCAAATACATCACAATAACTCCCCTATAGAAACAAGCACAGTGTGGAGCGATACTGTGGATCCAGGACAAAGAAGAGGGGAAAGTAGAGCAGGAGGAAGGAAGGAAAGAGGATCGGGATGAGAGCCGAGGATCAGGATGAGAGTCGAGGAGCGAGGGAGCGGGGAATATGTTAATTAAGAAAGGAAAGAAAAGCAACATGTAACACTTGGCACGACTGATGCTAAACGTGTCCTCTCGTGCTCACTTCTCACACACACTTCAAAAATAACAGATCAGATGCAGACAAACAAGTCCACACACACATGCAGCTGCGCTCACGGGTCGTACGTCTGAAAAATACATCTAAGCACAGATAGGGTTAGAATTATTAGACCCCATTTGTGGTACGTGGAACGTCACCGAGCTTGTGGGGGAGGAGCCTGAGCTTGTGGGGGAGGAGCCCGAGCTTGTGGGGGAGGAGCCCGAGCTTGTGGGGGAGGAGCCCGAGCTTGTGGGGAGGAGCCCGAGCTCGTGGGGGAGGTTGAGAGATACCAACCAGAGATAGTCGGGCTCACCTCCACACACAGCTTGGGCGCTGAACCCAACTCCTTGAGAGGGGTTGGACGCTCCACGTTTCTAGTGTTTCTCGTGGGGAGAGGCGGCGAGCTGGAGTGGCCATACTCATTGCCCCCCATCTCAGCTCTCTCCGGTGAATGAGAGGGTCGCGTCACTCCGCCTTCGGGTGGGGGACAAGTCTCTCACTGTTGTGACGGCCTACGGGCCTAACAGCAGGGCAGAGTACTGGACAGTGCACCACCCTGGGACTCTGTTATTCTCCTGGGAGACTTCAACGCCCATGTGGGGGACGCCAGTGACACTTGGAGAGGGGTGAAGGGGAAGAACGGCCCTGATCTGAACCCGAGCGGTGTTCAGTTGTTGGACTTCCGTGCCAGCCACAGAGGTTCTCCCTGGTCCCCAGAGGAGGAGGAACGCCCTCCTCCTCTCCGGGGGGAGGAGGAGAGCTACTCCCAGGTACCAGAGAAGAAGGAGAGCTTCTCCCAGGTCCCGGCGGAGGAGGGGGACATCGAGTCTGAGTGGACCATGTTCTCTTCCTCTATCGCCGATGCGGCGGCCCGTAGCTGTGGTCACACGGTCTCTGATGCTGGTCCCGGCGGCAACCCCCGAACCCGGTGGTGGACACCGGCAGTAAGGGATACTGTCAGACTGTAGAAGGAGTCCTATCGAGCCATGATGGTGCATGGGACTCCTGAGGCAGCTGTCCAGTACCGGCAGGCCAAGCGTGCTGCAGCCCGGGCTGTTGCACCCGGGACTGGGAGGAGTTCGGAGAGTCCATGGAGCATGACTATCGGTCGGCCTCAAAGAGATTCTGGCAAACCATCCGGCGCCTCAGGAGGGGGAAGCAGTGCTTTGCCAACACCGTGTATGGTGCGGGTGGAGAGCTGCTGACCTCGACTGGGGATATTGTCGGGCGGTGGAAGGAATACTTGAGGTTCTCCTCAATCCCCCCGTCACGTCCTCCGCCCCGGAGGCAGAGGCTGAGGATGTTGGGGCGGATACTTCCATCTCCCTGGCTGAGGTCACCAAGGTGGTTGGCAGCCTCCATGGTGGCAAGGCTCCGGGAGTGGATGAGATCCGTCCTGATTATCTAAAGTCTCTGGATGTTGTAGGACTGTCTTGGCTGACACGTCTCTGCAACATCGCGTGGCGATCGGGGGCGGTGCCAATGGAGTGGCAGACCGGGGTGGTGGTCCCTCTCTACAAGAAGGGGGACCGGAGGGTGTGTTCCAATTATCGTGGGATCACACTCCTCAGCCTCCCCGGTAAGGTCTACTCCAAGGTACTGGAGAGGAGGCTACGGCCAATGGTCAAATCTCGGATCCAGGAGGAGCAGTGTGGTTTTCGTCCCGGTCGCGGAACACTGGACCAGCTCTATACTCTCCATCGGATACTCGAGGGTTCATGGGAGTTCGCCCAACCTGTCCACATGTGCTTTGTGGATTTGGAGAAGGCGTTCCGGTCCCTGTATGACCGGAGCCAGAGCTTCGTTTGCATCAGCAGTAAGTCGGACCTGTTCTGGTGTTGGCCTCTGCCAAGCTGCCCTTTGTCACCGGTTCTGTTCACTGTGTTTGTGGACAGAATTTCTAAGCGCAGCCAGGGGCCGGTGGGGGACCGGGTTCAGAGACCACAGCCAGGGGCCAGAGGGGGTCCGGTTCGGGGACCACAGGATTTGATCTCTGCTATTTGCGGACGATGTTGTCCTGTTGACTCCAACGAACCAGGACCTGCAACATGCACTGGGACAGTTTGCAGCTGAGTGTGAAGCGGCTGGGATGAGAATCAGCTCCAAATCCGAGGCCATGGTGCTCGACCGGAAAAAGGTGCCTTGCCCTCTTCAGGTGGGTGGAGAGGTCCTTCCTCAAGTGGAGGAGTTCAAGTATCTCGGGGTCTTGTTCCCGAGTGAGGGAAGGATGGAGCGTGAGATTGAAGGCGTATCAGTGCAGCGTGCGAAGTCACTGTATTGGACCGTTACGGTGAAGAGGGAGCAGCGTCTGCAGTCAGAGCTCTCTCAAACCATTGTGGTGAAGAGGGAGCTGAGCCAAAAGGCAAAGCCTTAGATTGACCAGTCAATCTTCGCTTCTACCTTCATCTATGGTCATTAGCTTTGGGTAATGACCGACACCCGGCAACGGATGAAGCAGAAGAAAATGGATGGATGGAGGTTATAGGTTCATGTCCCACACATTGACTGCTGTATTTTCCCAGTTGGATGTAAATAGTTGGTGGTAATATCGCAGTAGATTTGTGAATTGATGTTTGACCTTGCGTCTGTGTTTTCTGAAGCATTACTTGTTTCTTTCTGATGAATATTTGCAGAAGAACTTTGCTCCGCTGCTCATTTGTCTCTGGTATTTCTTTATTGTGGAAAATGTAGTTTTTCATTCACTTTTGGTCTAAAATAGAACCAGGACACAGCACCGTTGACCATCCACTGTCAGATTGTAGAGTCCATGTCACAGATATCATGATTATTATAGATACAAGACCTCATTCTAACCCTGTATCTTTGAGTTAGCTTCATTCTAACCCTGTATCTTTGAGTTAGCTTCATTCTAACCCTGTATCTTTGAGTTAGCTTCATTCTAACCCTGTATCTTTGAGTTAGCATCATTCTAACCCTGTATCTTTGAGTTAGCTTCATTCTAACCCTGTATCTTTGAGTTAGCTTCATTCTAACCCTGTATCTTTGAATTAGCTTCATTCTAACCCTGTATCTTTGAGTTAGCATCATTCTAACCCTGTATCTTTGAGTTAGCATAATTCTAACCCTGTATCTTTGAGTTAGCTTCATTCTAACCCTGTATCTTTGAGTTAGCATCATTCTAACCCTGTATCTTTGAGTTAGCTTCATTCTAACCCTGTATCTTTGAGTTAGCTTCATTCTAACCCTGTATCTTTGAATTAGCTTCATTCTAACCCTGTATCTTTGAGTTAGCTTCATTCTAACCCTGTATCTTTGAGTTAGCATAATTCTAACCCTGTATCTTTGAGTTAGCATAATTCTAACCCTGTATCTTTGAGTTAGCATCATTCTAACCCTGTATCTTTGAGTTAGCATCATTCTAACACCTGTATCTTTGAGTTAGCATAATTATTTTTGTATCTTTTCTTGGCATAAAAAAACTAAGCATCATTTATGTTGTTTAAATCTTACCAAGAGTTTACTTTTTCCAGTGGCTGAGAGAGTCATTATCAGACCCAGGTGTGTCTCTGTTGTTTCCAGGGCTCGGGGCACCACGCTGGGCCCCGGGGCCTCTCGGTGTGTCCTCTAAGTCCTTCCACACTGTCTCCTGATGTGAGTAACCTCCAGTGCAGCTGCAAACTTCTCCTTCACTGCAGCGTGGCACCCTCCTCCCCGCCACGCCGCCTTCTGTCTGCACGCGCTCAGAACGGCTCTGCACTCATGAATAAATAACCACCTCCACCGAAGCGCCAGAACAAGGCCAACGCTCTGAATCCAGTTACCTCAGAGTCTGCGTGGGGACGATCCAAGATGCTACCCACATAACTGCACTTAGCATTTGGGGATTCACTAATGCAATGCTAGTAATCCTCACAAAACAGGGAGAGAATGTTTACGATCTTTGAAAACATAATGGGCAAAGAAATAGACTACTACTGCTATTTCAGTATTTATAATAATAATAATAATACTAATGCATTAGTTTTATATGTAGAGATACCGTAGGGACACCAGAGAGAGACCAGAGAGAGACCAGAGAGAGACAAGAGAGAGACCAGAGAGAGACCAGAGAGAGAGACCAGAGAGAGACCAGAGAGAGACCAGAGAGAGACCAGAGAGAGAGACCAGAGAGAGACCAGAGGGAGACCAGAGAGAGACCAGAGAGAGACCAGAGAGAGAGACCAGAGAGAGACCAGAGGGAGACCAGAGAGAGACCAGAGAGAGACCAGAGGGAGACCAGAGGGAGACCAGAGAGAGACCAGAGAGAGACCAGAGAGAGACCAGAGGGAGACCAGAGAGAGACCAGAGAGAGACCAGAGGGAGACCAGAGGGAGACCAGAGGGAGACCAGAGAGAGACCAGAGAGAGACCAGAGAGAGACCAGAGAGAGAGACCAGAGAGAGACCAGAGAGAGACCAGAGAGAGACCAGAGAGAGACCAGAGAGAGACCAGAGAGAGACCAGAGAGAGACCAGAGAGAGACCAGAGAGAGACAGGAGAGAGAGACAGGAGAGAGAGACAGGAGAGAGAGACCAGAGAGAGACCAGAGAGAGACCAGAGAGAGACCAGAGAGAGACCAGAGAGAGACCAGAGAGAGACCAGAGGAGACCAGAGGGAGACCAGAGAGAGACCAGAGAGAAAGACCAGAGAGAGACCAGAGAGAGACCAGAGAGAGACCAGAGAGAGACCAGAGAGAGACCAGAGAGAGACCAGAGAGAGACCAGAGAGAGACCAGAGAGAGACCAGAGAGAGACCAGAGAGAGAGACCAGAGAGAGACCAGAGAGAGACCAAAGAGAGAGACAGGAGAGAGAGACCAGAGAGAGAGACCAGAGAGAGAGACCAGAGAGAGAGACCAGAGAGAGAGACCAGAGAGAGACCAGAGAGAGACCAGAGAGAGACCAGAGAGAGACCAGAGGGAGACCAGAGGGAGACAGGAGAGAGAGACAGGAGAGAGAGACCAGAGAGAGACCAGAGAGAGACCAGAGAGAGACCAGAGAGAGACCAGAGAGAGACCAGAGGGAGACCAGAGGGAGACCAGAGGGAGACCAGAGGGAGACCAGAGAGAGACCAGAGAGAGACCAGAGAGAGACAAGAGAGAGAGCAGAGAGAGACCAGAGAGAGAGACCAGAGAGAGAGACCAGGGAGAGAGACCAGAAAGAGAGACCAGAGGGAGAGACCAGAGGGAGAGACCAGAGGGAGAGACCAGAGAGAGACCAGAGAGAGACCAGAGAGAGACCAGAGAGAGACCAGAGAGAGACCAGAGAGAGACCAGAGAGAGACCAGAGGGAGAGGCCAGAGGGAGACCAGAGAGAGACCAGAGAGAGAGCAGAGAGAGAGCAGAGAGAGAGCAGAGAGAGAGCAGAGAGAGAGCAGAGAGAGAGACCAGAGAGAGAGACCAGAGAGAGACCAGAGAGAGAGACCAGAGAGAGACCAGGAGAGAGACCAGAGAGAGAGACCAGAGGGAGAGGCCAGAGGGAGACCAGAGAGAGAGACCAGAGAGAGAGACCAGAAGAGAGACCAGAGAGAGAGACCAGAGAGAGAGACCAGAGAGAGAGACCAGAGAGAGAGACCAGAGAGAGAGACCAGAGAGAGAGAGACCAGAGAGAGACCAGAGAGAGACCAGAGAGAGAGACCAGAGAGAGAGACCAGAGAGAGAGACCAGAGAGAGACCAGAAAGAGAGACCAGAAGAGAGACCAGAGAGAGAGAGAGAGACCAGAGAGAGAGACCAGAGACCAGAGAGAGAGACCAGAGAGAGAGACCAGAGAGAGACCAGAGAGAGACCAGAGAGAGAGACCAGAGAGAGACCAGAGAGAGAGACCAGAGAGAGACCAGAGAGAGAGACCAGAGAGAGAGACCAGAGAGAGAGAGACCAGAGAGAGAGACCAGAAAGAGAGACCAGAGAGAGAGACCAGAGAGAGAGACCAGAGAGAGAGAGACCAGAGAGAGAGACCCAGAGAGAGAGACCAGAGAGAGACCAGAGAGACCAGAGAGAGAGACCAGAGAGAGAGACCAGAGAGAGAGACCAGAGAGAGAGAGACCAGAGAGAGACCGTGAGAGAAGGTAATAGACTGCTCAGAACAGACTTTAGAAATATAGTGGGTAGTACATCCAGGCTACATGTGGAGGAGCTCAAACTGGAGATTATCTCTTGGACAGTTTGATCATTTACAGGTGCAAAGTAAGTTAGCTCAAAGAGCCTTTCTGGCTGTTGGATTGTTATCTGTGGATTGGAGACAATGGCGTTTTTGATGCCTTGAACCTTGTCATTGAAAAAGTGTGCAAACCGATTGCATTTACGTTTGGAAGTTAGCTCTAATGGCATCTGAACAAGGGGGTTTGTTAATCTATTAACTGTTGAAAACAGAACACGCAGATTGTTGCTGCAACCTTCAATCATTTCAGAAAAATACCTTTCTCTCGTACTACGTAGCACCCGGTTAAACTCGCACAATTTATCTTTGAAGATCTCGTAATCTACCTGGAGGTTGGACTTGCGCCACTTCCGCTCGGCCCTCCGGCACTTTCTCTTTTGTAAAGGGCCCTAATCTGTCATAATAAAAGGGCCCTAATCTGTCATCATTAAAGGACCCTAATCTGTCATCATTAAAGGGTCCTAATCTGTCATCATTAAAGGGCCCTTATCTGTCATCATTAAAGGTCCTAATCTGTCATCATTAAAGGGCCCTAATCTGTCATAAATAAAGGGTCCTAATCTGTCATCATTAAAGGGCCCTAATCTGTCATCATTAAAGGGTCCTAATCTGTCATCATTAAAGGGCCCTTATCTGTCATCATTAAAGGTCCTAATCTGTCATCATTAAAGGGCCCTAATCTGTCATAAATAAAGGGTCCTAATCTGTCATCATTAAAGGGCCCTAATCTGTCATCGTTAAAGGGCCCTAATCTGTCATCATTAAAGGTCCTAATCTGTCATCATTAAAGGGCCCTAATCTGTCATAACAAAAGGCCCTAATCTGTCATCGTTAAAGGGCCCTAATCTGTCATCATTAAAGGGCCCTAATCTGTCATAATAATAATCTGTTCTTTTCCAATACTTCTTTAACTGATAAAAGTAGTTCATAGATATTTGAATTTCTAAATTACTTTTCCAGCCCCTAAATCTTGTTATCGTTTTCATTTCGATGTCCCGCCCTCCACTGTTTCACCAATCAGAAAGTCGTTGATCCGGGCTCCAGAACTCACCGCGTGGAGCTAATCTCACTGGTAAAGTACCATGTGGCGACAGTAGCTCAGTTGGTCGAGCATTGGCCTTAAGGCCAGAAGGTCGTGGGTTCAATTCCCACCTCTGCACCTTCTCCACCGACTCCCACTGATGACTGCTGTCGTTGTGTCCTTGGGCAAGACACTTAACCCCACTTTGCCCAAAGCCTCCACTGAAAGATCAAGGCTATGCTCACACTCAGAGAGCAGCCCTGTGGACTCACCACCTGCAGAGGGTCAGTGAGGGGCTGGTGCTATGAGACTTGGGTGGCATCTCTGACTGCCACCCCCCTGACCCAGAAATGGATTAAAGGGTAGAAAATGGATGGATGGATGGATGTTTTATTCTGTTGATCCTGTTTTTAATGTTTGTATTATGTCCTGTACGGTGTCCTTGGGTGTCTAGAAAGGCGCTTTTAAATAAAATGTATTATTATTATTATTATGTATCCATCCATCCATCTCTGTATCTTTTTTATGTTTATCTCCGTGTCACTCTGTACAGACCCGTGCCGTGCCGGTCAGTTCTGTCGTGGGTCAGACTTCCTTTTTCAAACTCCACAATCACCAACTTTGCTTCCATGGGGTTTGTTTACATCCTCATTTGTTTGCTTGTTTGTTTGTGCGTTTGCTGTGCTCTGCAGCTGAGCTAACAAGGCGCCATTTTCGCCCGGGCCACGGCTACGCTCCAATTAAAGCGTGTGATCATCCAGAACGCTTTAATGATGGTTGTTGCCGGAGTTGACCAGATACAGGAGAGAAGAGAGAGAGAGGCCTGCTGTGAGGTCCGCTGTGAGGTCCGCTGTGAGGTCCGCTGTGAGGTCCGCTGTGAGGTCTGCTGTGAGGTCCGCTGTGAGGTCTGCTGTGAGGTATGTGTGAGGTCTGCTGTGAGGTATGTGTGAGGTCTGCTGTGAGGTATGTGTGAGGTCCGCTGTGAGGTCAGCTGTGAGGTCCGCTGTGAGGTCTGTGTGAGGTCTGCTGTGAGGTATGTGTGAGGTCCGCTGTGAGGTCTGTGTGAGGTCTGCTGTGAGGTCTGTGTGAGGTCTGTGTGAGGTCTGCTGTGAGGTCAGCTGTGAGGTCCGCTGTGAGGTCTGTGTGAGGTCTGTGTGAGGTCCGCTGTGAGGTCCGCTGTGAGGTCTGCTGTGAGGTCCGCTGTGAGGTCTGTGTGAGGTCTGTGTGAGGTCTGTGTGAGGTCCGCTGTGAGGTCTGTGTGAGGTCTGTGTGAGGTCCGCTGTGAGGTCTGTGTGAGGTCTGCTGTGAGGTCTGCTGTGAGGTCTGTGTGAGGTCTGTGTGAGGTCCACTGTGAGGTCCGCTGTGAGGTCTGCTGTGAGGTCCGCTGTGAGGTCTGTGTGAGGTCCGCTGTGAGGTCTGTGTAAGGTCTGCTGTGAGGTCTGCTGTGAGGTCCGCTGTGAGGTCTGTGTGAGGTCTGCAGTGAGGTCCGCTGTGAGGTCTGCAGTGAGGTCCACTGTGAGGTCTGTGTGAGGTCCGCTGTGAGGTCCGCTGTGAGGTCTGCTGGGAGGTCTGCAGTGAGGTCCGCTGTGAGGTCTGTGTGAGGTCCGCTGTGAGGTCTGTGTGAGATCTGCTGTGAGGTCTGCTGTGAGGTCCGCTGTGAGGTCTGTGTGAGGTCTGCAGTGAGGTCCGCTGTGAGGTCTGTGTGAGGTCCGCTGTGAGGTCTGCAGTGAGGTCCACTGTGAGGTCTGTGTGAGGTCCACTGTGAGGTCTGTGTGAGATCTGCTGTGAGGTCTGCTGTGAGGTCCGCTGTGAGGTCTGTGTGAGGTCTGCAGTGAGGTCCGCTGTGAGGTCTGTGTGAGGTCCGCTGTGAGGTCTGCAGTGAGGTCCACTGTGAGGTCTGTGTGAGGTCCACTGTGAGGTCCGCTGTGAGGTCCGCTGTGAGGTCCAGTGTGAGGTCTGCAGTGAGGTCCGCTGTGAGGTCCGCTGTGAGGTCTGCTGTGAGGTCTGCAGTGAGGTCCGCTGTGAGGTCTGTGTGAGGTCTGCTGTGAGGTCCGCTGTGAGGTCTGCTGTGAGGTCTGCAGTGAGGTCCGCTGTGAGGTCTGCTGTGAGGTCTGCTGTGAGGTCCGCTGTGAGGTCTGTGTGAGGTCCGCTGTGAGGTCTGCTGTGAGGTCTGTGTGAGGTCTGTGTGAGGTCTGCAGTGAGGTCTGCAGTGAGGTCCGCTGTGAGGTCTGTGTGAGGTCCGCTGTGAGGTCCGCTGTGAGGTCCGCTGTGAGGTCTGTGTGAGGTCTGTGTGAGGTCTGCTGTGAGGTCTGTGTGAGGTCTGTGTGAGGTCCGCTGTGAGGTCTGTGTGAGGTCTGTGTGAGGTCTGCAGTGAGGTCCGCTGTGAGGTCCGCTGTGAGGTCTGTGTGAGGTCTGTGTGAGGTCTGTGTGAGGTCTGTGTGAGGTCTGCTGTGAGGTCTGTGTGAGGTCCGCTGTGAGGTCTGTGTGAGGTCCGCTGTGAGGTCTGTGTGAGGTCCGCTGTGAGGTCTGCTGTGAGGTCTGTGTGAGGTCTGTGTGAGGTCTGCAGTGAGGTCTGCAGTGAGGTCCGCTGTGAGGTCTGTGTGAGGTCCGCTGTGAGGTCCGCTGTGAGGTCCGCTGTGAGGTCTGTGTGAGGTCTGTGTGAGGTCCGCTGTGAGGTCTGTGTGAGGTCCGCTGTGAGGTCTGCTGTGAGGTCTGTGTGTGAGGTCTGTGTGAGGTCTGTGTGAGGTCTGTGTGAGGTCTGTGTGAGGTCTGCTGTGAGGTCTGCTGTGAGGTCTGCTGTGAGGTCTGTGTGAGGTCTGCAGTGAGGTCTGCAGTGAGGTCCGCTGTGAGGTCTGTGTGAGGTCTGCTGTGAGGTCAGCTGTGAGGTCCGCTGTGAGGTCTGTGTGAGGTCTGCTGTGAGGTCAGCTGTGAGGTCCGCTGTGAGGTCTGTGTGAGGTCTGTGTGAGGTCCGCTGTGAGGTCCGCTGTGAGGTCTGCTGTGAGGTCCGCTGTGAGGTCTGTGTGAGGTCTGTGTGAGGTCCGCTGTGAGGTCTGTGTGAGGTCTGTGTGAGGTCTGCGTGAGGTCCGCTGTGAGGTCTGTGTGAGGTCTGCTGTGAGGTCTGCTGTGAGGTCTGTGTGAGGTCTGTGTGAGGTCCACTGTGAGGTCCGCTGTGAGGTCTGCTGTGAGGTCCGCTGTGAGGTCTGTGTGAGGTCCGCTGTGAGGTCTGTGTAAGGTCTGCTGTGAGGTCCGCTGTGAGGTCTGTGTGAGGTCTGCAGTGAGGTCCGCTGTGAGGTCTGCAGTGAGGTCCACTGTGAGGTCTGTGTGAGGTCCGCTGTGAGGTCTGCTGGGAGGTCTGCAGTGAGGTCCGCTGTGAGGTCTGTGTGAGGTCCGCTGTGAGGTCTGTGTGAGATCTGCTGTGAGGTCTGCTGTGAGGTCCGCTGTGAGGTCTGTGTGAGGTCTGCAGTGAGGTCCGCTGTGAGGTCTGTGTGAGGTCCGCTGTGAGGTCTGCAGTGAGGTCCACTGTGAGGTCTGTGTGAGGTCCACTGTGAGGTCTGTGTGAGATCTGCTGTGAGGTCTGCTGTGAGGTCCGCTGTGAGGTCTGTGTGAGGTCTGCAGTGAGGTCCGCTGTGAGGTCTGTGTGAGGTCCGCTGTGAGGTCTGCAGTGAGGTCCACTGTGAGGTCTGTGTGAGGTCCACTGTGAGGTCCGCTGTGAGGTCCGCTGTGAGGTCCAGTGTGAGGTCTGCAGTGAGGTCCGCTGTGAGGTCCGCTGTGAGGTCTGCTGTGAGGTCTGCAGTGAGGTCCGCTGTGAGGTCTGTGTGAGGTCTGCTGTGAGGTCCGCTGTGAGGTCTGCTGTGAGGTCTGCAGTGAGGTCCGCTGTGAGGTCTGCTGTGAGGTCTGCTGTGAGGTCCGCTGTGAGGTCTGTGTGAGGTCCGCTGTGAGGTCTGCTGTGAGGTCTGTGTGAGGTCTGTGTGAGGTCTGCAGTGAGGTCTGCAGTGAGGTCCGCTGTGAGGTCTGTGTGAGGTCCGCTGTGAGGTCCGCTGTGAGGTCTGTGTGAGGTCTGTGTGAGGTCTGCTGTGAGGTCTGTGTGAGGTCTGTGTGAGGTCCGCTGTGAGGTCTGTGTGAGGTCTGTGTGAGGTCTGTGTGAGGTCTGTGTGAGGTCTGTGTGAGGTCTGTGTGAGGTCTGTGTGAGGTCTGTGTGAGGTCTGTGTGAGGTCTGCTGTGAGGTCTGTGTGAGGTCCGCTGTGAGGTCTGTGTGAGGTCCGCTGTGAGGTCTGTGTGAGGTCCGCTGTGAGGTCTGCTGTGAGGTCTGTGTGAGGTCTGTGTGAGGTCTGCAGTGAGGTCTGCAGTGAGGTCCGCTGTGAGGTCTGTGTGAGGTCCGCTGTGAGGTCCGCTGTGAGGTCCGCTGTGAGGTCTGTGTGAGGTCTGTGTGAGGTCCGCTGTGAGGTCTGTGTGAGGTCCGCTGTGAGGTCTGTGTGAGGTCTGTGAGGTCTGTGTGAGGTCTGTGTGAGGTCTGTGTGAGGTCTGTGTGAGGTCTGTGTGAGGTCTGCTGTGAGGTCTGCTGTGAGGTCTGCTGTGAGGTCTGTGTGAGGTCTGCAGTGAGGTCTGCAGTGAGGTCCGCTGTGAGGTCTGTGTGAGGTCTGCTGTGAGGTCAGCTGTGAGGTCCGCTGTGAGGTCTGTGTGAGGTCTGCTGTGAGGTCAGCTGTGAGGTCCGCTGTGAGGTCTGTGTGAGGTCTGTGTGAGGTCCGCTGTGAGGTCCGCTGTGAGGTCTGCTGTGAGGTCCGCTGTGAGGTCTGTGTGAGGTCTGTGTGAGGTCTGTGTGAGGTCCGCTGTGAGGTCTGTGTGAGGTCTGTGTGAGGTCTGCGTGAGGTCCGCTGTGAGGTCTGTGTGAGGTCTGCTGTGAGGTCTGCTGTGAGGTCTGTGTGAGGTCTGTGTGAGGGTCCACTGTGAGGTCCGCTGTGAGGTCTGCTGTGAGGTCCGCTGTGAGGTCTGTGTGAGGTCCGCTGTGAGGTCTGTGTAAGGTCTGCTGTGAGGTCCGCTGTGAGGTCTGTGTGAGGTCTGCAGTGAGGTCCGCTGTGAGGTCTGCAGTGAGGTCCACTGTGAGGTCTGTGTGAGGTCCGCTGTGAGGTCCGCTGTGAGGTCTGCTGGGAGGTCTGCAGTGAGGTCCGCTGTGAGGTCTGTGTGAGGTCCGCTGTGAGGTCTGTGTGAGATCTGCTGTGAGGTCTGCTGTGAGGTCCGCTGTGAGGTCTGTGTGAGGTCTGCAGTGAGGTCCGCTGTGAGGTCTGTGTGAGGTCCGCTGTGAGGTCTGCAGTGAGGTCCACTGTGAGGTCTGTGTGAGGTCCACTGTGAGGTCTGTGTGAGATCTGCTGTGAGGTCTGCTGTGAGGTCCGCTGTGAGGTCTGTGTGAGGTCTGCAGTGAGGTCCGCTGTGAGGTCTGTGTGAGGTCCGCTGTGAGGTCTGCAGTGAGGTCCACTGTGAGGTCTGTGTGAGGTCCACTGTGAGGTCCGCTGTGAGGTCCGCTGTGAGGTCCAGTGTGAGGTCTGCAGTGAGGTCCGCTGTGAGGTCCGCTGTGAGGTCTGCTGTGAGGTCTGCAGTGAGGTCCGCTGTGAGGTCTGTGTGAGGTCTGCTGTGAGGTCCGCTGTGAGGTCTGCTGTGAGGTCTGCAGTGAGGTCCGCTGTGAGGTCTGCTGTGAGGTCTGCTGTGAGGTCCGCTGTGAGGTCTGTGTGAGGTCCGCTGTGAGGTCTGCTGTGAGGTCTGTGTGAGGTCTGTGTGAGGTCTGCAGTGAGGTCTGCAGTGAGGTCCGCTGTGAGGTCTGTGTGAGGTCCGCTGTGAGGTCCGCTGTGAGGTCCGCTGTGAGGTCTGTGTGAGGTCTGTGTGAGGTCTGCTGTGAGGTCTGTGTGAGGTCTGTGTGAGGTCCGCTGTGAGGTCTGTGTGAGGTCTGCAGTGAGGTCCGCTGTGAGGTCCGCTGTGAGGTCTGTGTGAGGTCTGTGTGAGGTCTGTGTGAGGTCTGTGTGAGGTCTGTGTGAGGTCTGTGTGAGGTCTGTGTGAGGTCTGCAGTGAGGTCCGCTGTGAGGTCTGTGTGAGGTCCGCTGTGAGGTCCGCTGTGAGGTCCGCTGTGAGGTCTGTGTGAGGTCTGTGTGAGGTCTGCAGTGAGGTCCGCTGTGAGGTCTGTGTGAGGTCCGCTGTGAAGTCCGCTGTGAGGTCCGCTGTGAGGTCTGTGTGAGGTCTGCTGTGAGGTCTGTGTGAGGTCCGCTGTGAGGTCTGTGTGAGGTCCGCTGTGAGGTCTGCTGTGAGGTCTGTGTGAGGTCTGTGTGAGGTCTGCTGTGAGGTCTGTGTGAGGTCTGCAGTGAGGTCCGCTGTGAGGTCTGTGTGAGGTCTGCAGTGAGGTCTGCAGTGAGGTCTGTGTGAGGTCTGCAGTGAGGTCTGCAGTGAGGTCCGCTGTGAGGTCTGTGTGAGGTCTGCAGTGAGGTCTGCAGTGAGGTCCGCTGTGAGGTCTGTGTGAGGTCTGCTGTGAGGTCTGTGTGAGGTCCGCTGTGAGGTCTGTGTGAGGTCCGCTGTGAGGTCTGCTGTGAGGTCTGCTGTGAGGTCTGTGTGAGGTCTGTGTGAGGTCCGCTGTGAGGTCTGTGTGAGGTCTGTGTGAGGTCTCCTGTGAGGTCAGTGTGAGGTCAGTGTGAGGTCTGTGTGAGGTCTGTGTGAGGTCTGTGTGAGGTCCGCTGTGAGGTCTGTGTGAGGTCCGCTGTGAGGTCTGCTGTGAGGTCTGCAGTGAGGTCTGTGTGAGGTCTGCGTGAGGTCTGTGTGAGGTCTGTGTGAGGTCTGTGTGAGGTCTGCAGTGAGGTCCGCTGTGAGGTCAGTGTGAGGTCTGTGTGAGGTCCGCTGTGAGGTCTGCTGTGAGGTCTGTGTGAGGTCTGTGTGAGGTCCGCTGTGAGGTCTGTGTGAGGTCCGCTGTGAGGTCTGTGTGAGGTCTGCGTGAGGTCTGCTGTGAGGTCTGCTGTGAGGTCCGCTGTGAGGTCTGTGTGAGGTCCGCTGTGAGGTCTGTGTGAGGTCTGTGTGAGGTCTGTGTGAGGTCTGCAGTGAGGTCCGCTGTGAGGTCAGTGTGAGGTCTGTGTGAGGTCCGCTGTGAGGTCTGCTGTGAGGTCAGTGTGAGGTCTGTGTGAGGTCTGTGTGAGGTCCGCTGTGAGGTCTGTGTGAGGTCCGCTGTGAGGTCTGTGTGAGGTCCGCTGTGAGGTCTGTGTGAGGTCCGCTGTGAGGTCCGCTGTGAGGTCAGTGTGAGGTCAGTGTGAGGTCAGTGTGAGGTCTGTGTGAGGTCTGTGTGAGGTCCGCTGTGAGGTCTGTGTGAGGTCTGTGTGAGGTCTGTGTGAGGTCCGCTGTGAGGTCAGTGTGAGGTCAGTGTGAGGTCAGTGTGAGGTCAGTGTGAGGTCTGTGTGAGGTCCGCTGTGAGGTCCGCTGTGAGGTCCGCTGTGAGGTCAGTGTGAGGTCAGTGTGAGGTCAGTGTGAGGTCAGTGTGAGGTCTGTGTGAGGTCTGTGTGAGGTCCGCTGTGAGGTCTGTGTGAGGTCCGCTGTGAGGTCAGTGTGAGGTCAGTGTGAGGTCTGTGTGAGGTCTGTGTGAGGTCCGCTGTGAGGTCTGTGTGAGGTCTGTGTGAGGTCTGTGTGAGGTCCGCTGTGAGGTCAGTGTGAGGTCAGTGTGAGGTCAGTGTGAGGTCAGTGTGAGGTCTGTGTGAGGTCCGCTGTGAGGTCCGCTGTGAGGTCCGCTGTGAGGTCAGTGTGAGGTCAGTGTGAGGTCAGTGTGAGGTCAGTGTGAGGTCTGTGTGAGGTCTGTGTGAGGTCCGCTGTGAGGTCTGTGTGAGGTCCGCTGTGAGGTCAGTGTGAGGTCAGTGTGAGGTCAGTGTGAGGTCAGTGTGAGGTCTGTGTGAGGTCCGCTGTGAGGTCTGCTGTGAGGTCTGTGTGAGGTCTGTGTGAGGTCTGTGTGAGGTCCGCTGTGAGGTCTGTGTGAGGTCCGCTGTGAGGTCTGTGTGAGGTCTCTGCGTGAGGTCTGCTGTGAGGTCTGCTGTGAGGTCCGCTGTGAGGTCTGTGTGAGGTCCGCTGTGAGGTCTGTGTGAGGTCTGTGTGAGGTCTGTGTGAGGTCTGCAGTGAGGTCCGCTGTGAGGTCAGTGTGAGGTCTGTGTGAGGTCCGCTGTGAGGTCTGCTGTGAGGTCAGTGTGAGGTCTGTGTGAGGTCTGTGTGAGGTCCGCTGTGAGGTCTGTGTGAGGTCCGCTGTGAGGTCTGTGTGAGGTCCGCTGTGAGGTCTGTGTGAGGTCCGCTGTGAGGTCCGCTGTGAGGTCAGTGTGAGGTCAGTGTGAGGTCAGTGTGAGGTCTGTGTGAGGTCTGTGTGAGGTCCGCTGTGAGGTCAGTGTGAGGTCTGTGTGAGGTCCGCTGTGAGGTCCGCTGTGAGGTCCGCTGTGAGGTCTGTGTGAGGTCAGTGTGAGGTCAGTGTGAGGTCAGTGTGAGGTCAGTGTGAGGTCTGTGTGAGGTCCGCTGTGAGGTCAGTGTGAGGTCTGTGTGAGGTCCGCTGTGAGGTCCGCTGTGAGGTCCGCTGTGAGGTCAGTGTGAGGTCAGTGTGAGGTCAGTGTGAGGTCTGTGTGAGGTCTGTGTGAGGTCCGCTGTGAGGTCTGTGTGAGGTCCGCTGTGAGGTCAGTGTGAGGTCCGCTGTGAGGTCCGCTGTGAGGTCAGTGTGAGGTCAGTGTGAGGTCTGTGTGAGTCCTCTGCAGACTAAAGCAGCCGCAGAATCAGGCTCCAAACTGCTGCACGATCGGGAGGAGGTCACATCTCGGTCAGATTTATTGACTAAAAATAACAGAAATGATGCTTATTTTTTTAATGGCAAGTTTTGTTTTGCTTTAAAGTAATTTGTCATGAGATTATTTTATTAGTTTTGAAAATAAACAGTCTGAGCAGTGAGTTTTTAGGCTTGTTTTGAGGATTTAAAAACTAGCTGGGCAGCACGGTGGCTGATCCTGGTCATGGGTTTGAATCCCGGTTGGAACTGGGTCTTTCTGAGTGTTCTCGCTGTGTCTGTATAAGTTTCCTCTGGGTGCTCCGGTTTTCCCTACCACTAAAATCATGTATAATAGGTCTGATTTAGCCTGGTCTTCCCATGTGTAAACTCTGGTCCATGATCATCTCCTACATGTACGTCTGGTCTTACCATGTGTAAACTCTGGTCCATGGTCATTTCCTACATGTACGTCTGGTCTTACCATGTGTAAACTCTGGTCCATGATCATCTCCTACATGTACGTCTGGTCTTACCATGTGTAAACTCTGGTCCATGATCATTTCCTACATGTACGTCTGGTCTTACCATGTGTAAACTCTGGTCCATGATCATTTCCTACATGTACGTCTGGTCTTACCATGTGTAAACTCTGGTCCATGATCATTTCCTACATGTACGTCTGGTCTTACCATATGTAAACTCTGGTCCATGATCATCTCCTACATGTACGTCTGGTCTTACCATGTGTAAACTCTGGTCCATGATCATTTCCTACATGTACGTCTGGTCTTACCATGTGTAAACTCTGGTCCATGGTAATTTCCTACATGTACGTCTGGTCTTACCATGTGTAAACTCTGGTCCATGATCATCTCCTACATGTACGTCTGGTCTTACCATGTGTAAACTCTGGTCCATGATCATTTCCTACATGTACGTCTGGTCTTACCATGTGTAAACTCTGGTCCATGATCATCTCCTACATGTACGTCTGGTCTTACCATGTGTAAACTCTGGTCCATGATCATTTCCTACATGTACGTCTGGTCTTACCATGTGTAAACTCTGGTCCATGATCATTTCCTACATGTACGTCTGGTCTTACCATGTGTAAACTCTGGTCCATGATCATCTCCTACATGTACGTCTGGTCTTACCATGTGTAAACTCTGGTCCATGATCATTTCCTACATGTACGTCTGGTCTTACCATATGTAAACTCTGGTCCATGATCATTTCCTACATGTACGTCTGGTCTTACCATGTGTAAACTCTGGTCCATGATCATTTCCTACATGTACGTCTGGGTCTGATCCTAGTGGCTGCAGTTTCCTCGGTTGAATCTCCTCCGACCAATCAGAGAGCGGGGGAGGCGGGTGTTGTAGGTCGGTGTCGTTGACGTCCAGAGTTTGTGCTGAATTTGCTGGTTGTAGTTTGTCGGAGAATGCGATAGTAAAATGTGATAAAAAATATCAAGAAACTGAAGCCGGAGCAAGAGGAATGTTTAGTAAATGTCATTGAAGCAAAGATGTTGTGGCTCTACTCCCCACGGGCTCCGTTAGCGGCAAAGGAGATGGCTAAAGCTAGGCTACATGCTAAAGCTAGGCTAAATGCTACAATCACTCGGGCCCCTCCCGAGTGAGTCAAAGGAGAAAATTCAGACCTTAGTATGAAATGAAATGAGTACCATGGTGTGGAAAGACCAGGCTGGATCTGAATGTAATGAATGGATGGTGTTTGGTCGGAGGCTTTGATGGACCAGTGTGTTCAGCTCTCTCTCTGTGATCACCGTGTGGAGAGAATGGAACTATATCTTTTTCCCGTGAAGAAAGGAAGAAGTTCATGGAGCTAACAAACGTTTATCTCATTCATGTGATCAGTGTTATTGTTCTGCAGGTTTCAGACATGACAGTAACACATCAGCAGTGATCGAGCCAAGAAGAGGATTCTATTTGGAAAACACAGACTGCATGAAACCTTAATTCACTGAAAATGTCCTGAACCAGAAGAATACGCGCTCTCCTTTCACACGGCGACAGTGAAACTAAAACAGCAAGAATAAGCCTCGTTTAAAAGCCAAGAGCACGAGAGGCCATTTGGAATCAGCTTTATCCAATTATAACATCTACTGAAACATCACAGCGGCTTTCACTGGATTATTTTATATTATTATTAAAGGAAAGAACCGCCCTCTCCCCTTTTAAAGCCAAACTCAGCTCTATCAGCAGAATGATTGACAGTTGGAAGGACCAATGAGATTAAGATTACACAAAGATATACACACACTATGCCTCATACGTACACACACTATACTCACACGTACACACACCATACTCACACGTACACACACTATGCTCACGCGTACACACACGTACACACACCATACTCACACGTACACACACTATGCTCACGCGTACACACACTATACTCACACGTACACACACCATACTCACACGTACACACACTATGCTCACGCGTACACACACTATGCCTCACACGTACACACTATGCCTCACACATACACACACTATACTCACACGTACACACACTATACTCACACGTACACACACCATACTCACACGTACACACACTATACTCACACGTATACACACTATGCTCACGCGTACACACACCATACTCACACGTACACACACTATACTCACGCGTACACACACTATACTCACACGTACACACACCATACTCACGCGTACAGACACCATACTCACGCGTACACACACCATACTCACACGTACACACACTATACTCACGCGTACACACACCATACTCACACGTACACACACTATACTCACGCGTACACACACTATACTCACACCTACACACACCATACTCACGCGTACAGACACCATACTCACGCGTACACACACCATACTCAC